TGAAGAAATTCAAGCAAGCGCGGGTAAACGGCGGTTACACATTCGATCCAAAGCTTAAGACCACACGCTAATCAAGAACCTCCACGTGGTAGAGTTGGATACGGATCTCTGATCCTAACTAATGCTTGCCATGGCGTGTCAATCATCCAAAGTCCAACTGTGGCGGATTCGGTCGGGATGATTGAGTTCCTAGACTCAGTGTTTAGGAATTGGAACTCACAGTAGATACTGGTTTTTATTAATTGAACTGTACCTGGGTACAGGCCGGGACGTGGTTTAGTACTGGCTGCTTTTTTTTTTCTGGCACCTCCTCGCGTGCCTGATGTACTTTCTATCTTAAACAAACAATAATGGCAATAGTATATTCAGTTGATAAATCCATAATTTAATTATATAGTGTGTCAACTGCACTAATGTAGCAAATACAGTATATGGAGTTGAGTTATGCCTTATGGCATTTAACGACGCTCCTTTCTCACAGATATTATGTAGCAAATACAAAATGATGGTACTGAAGGCTCGTTGGGAGAAAACGGTCAGGGATTTAGCCTCTCCGTAGACCCCGCTAGTAATGCCACTGTGTGGTGCAGGACTTTATGGGTCTGATCATCACGCAGTGGTAGCCAAGTGAATCCTCCGCATACAGACTAAGACTCGCTTTTGTAGTCTGAAATCTGTAGCCCGAATAACAGGAACAGGGCATGCGGGCACTTCTTTGGGTTTTTCCAGGGTCGTTCCCTCTTTATTTTAAAGAGTATATTTTATTTTCAATTGACATTGATATATGACTACTAATTGCATGTTTTTATGACAATGATTGATGAATCGCAGAAGGTGTGGTTTCGCTATAAGGTGAAGGCGGCACCTTCGAATGATAAAAACTTAAATAATGGCTAATAATCATGATAATGCCTCGGAGTTCGGGGAGATTGGTCCCATCTTGCCGAATATTGGTAGGGGACCTGAATATGACGGAAACACTAAGATTCTTAGAATCTTTATCCCGACTCCTGTGGCGTTCGATTGTCCAATCTGCCTTAACAACAATAAAATAACATCTTTCATTGAAACAAAAACTTTCAGTAGTCACATTTCTCGCAGCCATATGGTGGATGGTGTGGTGTGGGTGTGCCTTCCCTGATTGAGAGACTTTAAGTCACTTCATGCGGTGAGGGTGCATACACCCAAGTGCAAAGGGGTTGAGGGGGCGATCGCTCTGGAGCATGTGTGTGAGGCATGTAGTGCCTCTTTTGCAACTCAGCGTGGCCTCAGTGCCCACGAGCTGACCAAGCATCCGGATGTAAGAAATAGAAAAAGAAACGAGTTAGTAAATGCGCCTAAAGTAAGGGGAGGTGCACCTCTTACTAGGTGGACCGAAGACGAAATCTCTACATTGGCTCGACTGGTTCCGAGGTATAATGGCGCTCGTGACATTAATAAACAACTATCAGCTTTTTTGCCTAACAAGACCGCAAGTCAGATTAGTACCAAGCGAAGTTCTACAGCCTTTGCGCAATACAATCTTAGCATGCAAACTAATAACACCGGTAATGATGTCAGTAACAACGACAATTTATCTGGTGATTCTAAGTCCGAGTCTTCTGAACCCCCTATGGGAATTTCAGAGACAATTTCGGACTATGATGAACCGATTAATGATGAAAATATGGAACCCTGGTTCCTCAAAATGCGAGAAGTTATTGTTAGCGAGCAGGCGGTGGACCCTAGCTTAAAAGATGTCTATAACATCGAGACACAATTACTATCATTAGCGGAAGCTGTGGCTGTTGGTGGTGATTCGTCGCTAGTTCATGACAGTATTGATAATTTTATTGAAAAGATCTTGAACCCTTACTTAGTAGGGATTAACAATAAAAAGAAGCCAACACGCAGAAACGTTGGGGGTCTTTCAAAAAAGTATAATAACAACAATAATCAAAACAGACCCAAAAAAGATCAAAAGAGATCGGATGTATATGCTAAGTGCCAGGAATTGTTTAAGAACAAGCCTGCAAAGCTTGCCGTGTTAGTCATATCAGGGGATGACTCTGAATTAAGACCGAGGCAGTTACCACCTACTGCCGATGACGTAAAAAGGCTATACACTGAACTTTGAGGGACCACTGGTCCTATAAGTAAAAAGCTTACGACACGGTCAGTCACAGCGCCATATTAAAAAGCCTTATGAGAGCGGGTGTACCTTGGTACCTGGCGAGTTATGTAGAGGGTGCTTACTGCGGTTGTTACTCTCAAATAACATCTCGAGATGAACCTGTATCAATTAACTTCAATAGAGGTGTTAAGCAGGGCGATCCACTTTCTCCGACAATTTTCAACTGTGTCATGGATCCGATAATCGCTGCTGTTGAGGATGAGGGTGATGGCGTGTCTGTGGGGACACACGGAGTGCCAATTTTGGCCTTCGCCGACGATCTTGCTGTCCTTTCAAGAGATAAAGATCAAGCCATCAGACTACTTCGTCTAATTAAATTAAAATTAGCCGACGTGGGGATGAGTATCTCAATAAAGAAGTGCTTTTGTTTTAAGATCAATAGTCATAGAGAGACGTGGTCGGTTGTGGATCCCCAAATTACATTTGACGGATCGACAATCGGTTACGTGGAACCATCTAAATTTATGCGGTACCTGAGCGGCAGGATCGGCCCATGGAGAGGTTTCGCTAAGAATGACTACAGGGATAATCTAGCATTGGCTCTTAATAGAACCGCTGGTTTATCCCTTAAGCCGATGCAGAAGATACTTCTCTTAACCAGATACGTCATACCCCACTTCCTCTACAGTTTGATTGTTGGAAAAACTACCATGACCCTGTTGCAGGATTTGGACCGCCTTGTCAAATTGAAAGTGAAAAACATCCTTCACTTACAGGCCTCAACAACCGACAGTTTGCTCTACTCTAGAAAGAGAGATGGAGGAATCGGTCTAGCTAGCTTGCAAAATATAATTACGATTGCGAAGTTAAGAAATTGGTTGAAGATGTCGCAATCTGCAGACATTACATCTAGAGAGGTAGCTAATTCAGAACAATATATTAAAAACATCCGTATGTTTGCTCGGAGCGTGGGTATTGAATTACCTTTTGATATGAAGACCTTGAATCGAGTGAAATTAAAATCCAAAATAAATGAGGTCCATCGCTGGGCTGCCCTTGCTTCTCAAGGGCAGGGTGTTCCCTGGTTTGTTGACGACCCCGTCTGTAATTGTTGGTTGTATAATTACAACCTTCTCAGACCATCGAGATTTATCACTGCACTTCAATTAAGATCTAACACCTGTGGTGTGAAGGCTGTATTATTCAGGGGGAGACCCCAGGTTAATGCAGAAGAAGTGATGTGCAGGCGGTGTCGTTCCAGACCAGAGACCACCGCACATATTCTGGGCTATTGTCCCTTCAACAAGCCTTACAGAATCAAGAGACACAACGAGATCTTAGATTTCGTGATTAACAAGATTAACGAGCGGGGGGGTGCCGTCAAGGTGATCAAGGAGCCGGAGATTAACATCGATGGGGTCCTTCTTAGGCCGGACTTAGTCCTGGTTGAGGAGGATTCCATCCTTGTCATTGATGTTACAGTAAGATATGAACAAGAACAATCGCTTTTCGAAGCTAAGAGAGAAAAGGAGCGAAAGTACCAACTTGTCGCTGATCACCTTGCGGGCACCCTTCATAAGGCTGCCTCGGTGGAACCGATTATTGTTGGCTCCAGGGGTGCCCTCCCGCACTTCACGGTCCGAGTGCTCGAGAAATGTGGCTTGAAAGTAGCAGATTTGAAAACAGTATCTTTAATCGCCCTCAGGACATCGATGGAGATGTTCCATCTATTCCTAGATGGTTGATCAATCGAATGCTACTGGATGTCATATAATGACTAACGAATATCCTTCCATAGCTATCTTCCCATTTGTTACCCTTCCCTTTCCTTTTATTTCTTTGACCCTGACTGATTTCTCATTTTATCTTTTTATTTATTTATTATTTATTGTTATCTTGTTTTTGTTGTGAAATCTTTTTATTATATTCCTAACGTGGGTGGAACAAAAATACAAAAAGCCACCGAATGTAGTAGCATCTTCAATTCTACTATAGGAAGGTAGCCAAATGTCTCGTCATCTAATTAGTGACGCACATGAATGGATTAACGAGATTCCCGCTGTCCCTATCTACTCACGCTGATCCCCGACGTTCAGCGTCGTTTGAAAAGCACATGGATTTCTCCGGGGTACCACATGTCGCAGATGCTGACTGGACACGGAGACTTCGCCTCCAAACTCTGGGGGTTCAGTCTCGGTGTCGGTCCGACCTGCTCGTGTGGCGCACCTGAGGAAACCATGATGCACGTCCTGGCAGAGTGCCCCGTATTTACCGAGGAACGTGGTGTCTTGCGCGCGGGACTAGGCGAGGAGATAAGGTGGCGGCGGCGTCTCGAAGGTAACACTCCACTCGCACCATGACTTCCCTAAAGGAAGTCCGGCGAAGTGGAGTAATACCAAAAAGAGGTAACAATCCAGCTGCAACTGACCTCTCGAAAGAGGGTCCGGCAGACTGGATTAATACCAAGGCGCACCCGGAGTGACACCTTCACCAATATTAATTAGCTGTAGGTAACCCTTCCTCGAGCTCGGTCCCTCCAGAGAGGGTCTTAGCTCGAGTAAGGGCCAAAAAAAAAAATTAGTTAGTTGTTCTTTTTCTCGGTGAAGGTGTCACTCAACAGCGGGTAATTTTAAAGGTACTAATTGGGAGGGCATTTTTAAAATTGTTATTTCTTTTGGGTACTTCTTTTATTGGTGGTGGAAATATGTAAATATTGTAAATATGTGTGTTTTTTTTTCTTTCTTTCTTTTTTTTTTTTCAGGCCTATCAGAACATCGGTTGGTGGAGCTTAGCTCGGGAGACGGAACCTCCACGAGGTCCCCGCTGGGTACTTTGTTTCCCTTCTCCCGCTCAAGATTCCCGAATCTTGCACGGGCGAAGGGAAACATTGCTAACCGTCTCCTCCCGCAAGGGCACCCGGT